CAATTTACATAAACCAAATAAATTTTTAAGGGACAAGTTGTTTAATATACATGAGACAAGTTTTAGGAATCTCATCCATACAATTGTCAATAGTACGAAGTCGAAAAAATCATGACATGAAAAATATGAATCATACAAGAGTAATCAGGAATATAGTTTATGCAACAATCACAATTGTGCACAAATACCTAGAATGACACTTTTTCTCGCAGAAATATTATAAAAAATATATCTATTAACATTTTAATACACCAATATAGAAATTAAGAGAAACCTTTGAGAAAAATTATTTTGAAAATACAAGTGGCGCTTTAGAAAAAAAAACTTATCCTTTCTCTGAAGTATATATTTTTAATTATATCTGTACAAAAAATTATTATTTTTTAAAAGAGTTATCTTTTAATTTGATTTGACATTACTTCTAACTTGGTCTAGTAGAGAGTGTCTTCCTTAACTACTAAATTGTATCAAGCCAAAAGATTGGGAAGAATAAAGTATATTCTAGTTGCTAGTAGTGTATTATTTTGTTAGTTAGTGTGAAGGGATTGAACATCTCAGATTAGTTATAAGGAATATGTATACATCGATGTGTTGATAAATAAATATCTTTAACTTATTTATATTAATATATAAATATGAATAAAAGATATAAAAGATGTTGTTATAGATTGAACTCTAGAAAAATATTTTACATATATTTAACGCAATTAAATATCAGTTAAACTATCTCATCCACCTATTTTAAACATAATTCAAATCCTCATTTTTAATATTTTGTCAATATGTTTATTTTTATGATGATACACTTTTGTTGACAAAATGATTTGTTCAAATCTAAATCTCTATCCAATGAATGGTACCAATCAAATCAAAGTTAAACAATTTTAACGACCAAAATTTTTAGATTCAACATTCAAATATATTAATAAATTTTTTCGTCAAAAACAAGATTCGAACGTATTATTTTTATAATAATATTCGCCACGTTCAAGATACGTCAGACAAAGAATATAATATATATGAGTTTATCCGAAATTTATATACACTTTTAGTAAATAACGTAAATCTACGATAAATTCAAATCACAATATTAAATAGAAAGATATTTGTTGGTTATATATATATATATATATATATATATATATATATATATATATATATATATATATATATATATATATATATATATATTAAAATAATTATGAAAATTTGAATACACTGTGTGTAATTATAATGAACCATTTTGACACATGAAAAGAGAGAAAAAAACATGAAATAAGTCGGTATTAAAATGGTTTAATTATAATTTTAAAGCGTTAGAGTATTTATCAATTACAAATTATATTTATTTTATAAATTACTATAATTTATAAACAAATTTACAACTTTTTTTTCTTTTCTTTTTATGATAAAAAAATATCACTTTTTTAAAAAGCAATATATAAAATGTCATAATAATTAATTTGTTATAAATACAAAAAATTAAAATATTAAAAAGCAATTTATTCTATTAAAATATAAGCAGTGCATTATAATAGTAAAATATCATTTAAAAAATAAAAGAAATAAAAAAAATTCGTTTTTGACCAATTGAAATATAGAATAAAAAACTTAAAATATATTATAAAAAATACATAAATATTTATTCTTTCTAACAGTAACATTTTCGTTCTCACTCCATATTCATTTCATTTTCCTCTTCATTGTTTTTCTATATAAAATATTTACTCTTTCTAACGGTAACATTTTCGTCTAACGGTAACATTTTCGTTCCCACTCCATATTCATTTCATTTTCCGCTTCATTGTTTTTCTATATAAACTTAAATAATTATGATGTTTCGTCATCGAAAATAATCTCAAATCACTATTTGATAATCATATCTAAGAGTACATCTAAAAGAATTTAATGGAGTATTACGATGCTGAACAAAAACGTTGGGTTCCTATCGTGGTGCAACAACTTCCATCTAATCATGGTAAATGAATACTAAATTCTATTTTCACATGTCTTACTTTTGTGAATATATTTGACATGATTTACATAATAACATATGAGTATATTTTATTTTGTAATTTTTTCAATTAAGATAATGATTTGGTTTAATTTTTTCAATTTTTTAAATTTAAAATTCAAACCAAGCCAATTTTTTTTTAAATAAATGAATTTAATTGATGTTTCAAAAATAATTAGAGTTTAAATTTTGTTTACTTTTATTCGTTTGCCATCCTAAATGTTTTTTTTATTTATATATTGACCGATCACTCATTTAATTTCTTATTTATAATTTTATTTGAAATGATTACAGGAAAATCAAAATCAAGTAAGACACTACCAACTCCTATCGGTTAGTAATACATGTTTTTATTTATTTATTTATTTATTTATTTTATATGAATTTAATATTATTATTATCATTACTATCATTATTATTTAGTATTAATTAATATTTATAATATCTATTGAAAATAATAATATTCAGAATATATATTTATAATATGTTTGTTTTAATATTTTTAATTATTATTTTTCAGTTTTATAATCAATATTGTGATGTTTTTTGTTATTGGTTTAGTTGTTAATATTACTATTTAATTAAATTTCTTATATAAAATGTCTTCGTGCACGAAAAATTAAGCGGTAAATTTTGTGACGTTAGGAATAAGAAAATTTGTATATTTTATATTTAGGAATGGACAAAGTTTTGATAGTTTTTCATTAAATATTTTTTAATTGGCTTAGTATATGTTATTTTTTAGATGCTCTTAGGTCTAACTATGATTACGATTTAAATTATTGTATTTTGTAAATACGTCTAAAACTAAGATAAAAAAATAAGGGTTATGGTTTGAACTTTGACATAATTTTATGAGAAAATTGTGTCTTTCCACCCTATATCCTCACACTTGTCAAGACCTCTCATACATATTTTCTATATTTAAAATATAGAAAATTCTAACATTTTTATTCTTTAGAATTTTTCATAAAATCTATCACACATCTTTTCATATCAATAGAAATTAAGTGTAAGTTTTATTATCTTATGTCTCTCCATCTTAGGTTCTATTAGTAAATAAATCTTCTTTATGATTGACCTCCAATACATAAAATCAATTTGATAATTAGTAATTTGAGCATTTTTTAAAAATATATTTCAATCTTTTTTTTTCCTTCATAATTTTATAATATGATTTATAAATTTAATTTCTATATAATTTATAAAAATTTGTATATATTCACTGTTCTCATAGATTGAAAAAAATACTTATTTTTTGAAATTTGCTTTGACCTTGTGATTTTGTTAAAAATTTGATGAATCGCTCAATTTCTTTATTTTCAAGATTTTTTCACACTTCAATATGTATGTTGTCTCACCCATCCTCCTTGATGTTAATAATCTTTTTCTCAAAAGCTTTGTTTATCTCGTATTTTTAAATCTGACAATAGAAGTTATAGTTTCAATCCTCTTTTTTAATTTCTACCTTGTTAGACTTTTGTGTGATCTCATTTTTAAGTACATTGTGGAAATATGTCTTGTTTATATATCCTTTTCTTAGATTAAATTTTTTTATTCTTCATCTTTAACACACTTCACTTTATCTAAGTCTCACGTCTTTCTTTATATTCCCTTAGCAAGCTTATATATCAATTTTATCTCTCATTGATTTATAAGAATTTGTATAACCCGTCAAAAGCTTGAGTTCTTGCTTTGCTCACTACCTTCTTAATCTACAAAATTTAGGGCTATGATCTAATCTCCTACTGGATTTATACGACATTTCTTTTCAATATAATTATCACCCAAGTTATTGATCTAACTTTGCTAGTGTACTTAATCTTAAACCTTTAGTTGTCTAATTCTTTCTCCTTTTAAATTGTTCACTTACTTTTTCATAGCCACTTAAAATTGATTTTCTTTCTAACCATAGTCTCAACTATTTTCATAAATTCCACTATAAGAATTCTTATATTCTATGTTCTAAAACAAACTTCACTATTATAAATTAACTTCTTTACTCACATGTGTTGATGAAAGATATGAAAAGCCTTACTTATTTTTCATTGCATCTAGACAGTAATACAACCGTCCTCATTTGAATTAATATGTATTTAATCCACGTTATAGAAATTTAACAAAATTTAATATTAATTGTCGATTGTCTAACGCAACTCATTTTTCTTAATTGAATTTGAGAATCACTATGCATATCAAAGTTAACATATGTCAAACCAAATATATATCAACTAATATTAAATTTAATAATTATAATTTTTTCGTTGTTATGATGTAGTGGTTTAACTATGTGAAATTTAAGTTTGAATACTGATCACCTCATTTTTTATCTTTATTTATTTTTATTTGAGTAATATTAGTCCAATTAGTAAATAACAAAATAATAAAATAACTAACAACATTTTTCTGTCGATTCAATTAGGATTTGCAAAAACTTTATTTTAAAAAAAAAAAGAAGTTGTGACAAAATACGGTTCAAAAACTATAAAGCTTTTTTACTATTTACTCTTTTACAATTTACTTTAATTTTTTTTCGTTCAAATCTCTAATATTTGATTTAATATGGATCGAAATTAGATCAGCATTTCATTAGAATTTGGGCTTGAGGATCCATGGGTTTTATAAATATATATATATTTTTTAAATTTAGGTTTTATTAAAAACATTGAATTTTTTAAAAAAGAGTATACCGTTTTAGAAACCATAACAAACCCTGCGTCACAAGGAAAACCCTTGTTTCTCTTTGCCGTCACTTCACATCACTGTGTTCTCAGTTAGAATTTCGAAAGTTCAAGAATCGAAATTAACTTGAGGATTCTGAAGAATCATCACAACCGATAAACGTTTATCGATAGATACACTCTTATCACTGTGATTGATCATCAGATCACAATTCCTCCGAGGCGTCATTGATTATGCTGGTTTCTAGAATTTCATTAAGTTCATGTTTTGGAATTGAAACTGATTCAAAACAACATTGAAGCTAATGGCAATCTCTCAGTATCCGAGCGGTGCCGATTCTGATTCGGAGGATAAATTACCTTGTTCTGCTGATTCTAGTGCTGGACAGAATGTAATTGGCGATGATGATGGCTTGTTCAACCTTGAAGACGAGGTGTTCGACGTTTTTACTCAATGTAACTTTTCTCACAATGCTCACAACTTTGAGTTAATCGTAAGAGCACTTTTGCCGCTTATTTTAGTTTTTGTAGGGGGAGAGAGTAAGCTTAAGGAGTGAACATAGAACATAGAGGAAGTGCGCTAGATGCTTTGATCTCTTAACCGTTTGGTCTAGGGTTTGTAAAGACAGCTTTGTTAGTTTAGTACCTGGTTTTACCAAAAATTAAGCAAATTAGTAGTAAATTAGTTTCTGATTTGAACCCTCAGTTAACTACTAGGAAGGAAAAAGATTGGAGTTCTCTCATCCTATTTTAGTAGCAGCAAATTCTATTAAGGTAAGGTGTAGTTGTTACTCATCCAGTGAATTTAAGGAATATAAATGAGCAATTAGTCCCAAAGATTCTGCTTAAATCAGCCCCTGTGTGTTCTTTATTAAGTTAGAGATTTGAATCTTGGGACTGGATTGATTGCAGTTTTGATTTTTTTGTTCAGATTTTTCTAGTTGGACTGAAATTTTTGTTTCTGCTGATGTTTTGAATTTCAAAATCTGTTTGGGTTCCTATGGGCATATTGTTTTGATATGTTATATATTGTCTAAAAGTATATTAGTCCGGACTGGTCTACTTAATTGGTTAATTTTTGGCTGAGTTTTGAGTATTCAATGATGATAAACGCATCACTAACTGCACGCATTTGAGTAAACAACATAGATGATGCATTCTCATTATCAATATATGTCTACATTGATGATTTTATTTTCTTTCTATTCATTATGTTATTTACATCACTTGATGATTGAAAGACCTAGTTGTTGTATTTACTTGTGTACTATTCTATCAAAGATATTATGATAGAAATTATTGTTAGACACAACATTGCTTATGTTATGCATCATATGGGCATGATATCCCTGCCTTGTTGTTGTTGGGGCATCACATATATGGTATTCGGTATTGCAAAGTGAGAAGTGAGAACTAATCAAAGCTTACCATGACTTAGTAATACTCGTCTATAAGTTTTATAGAAACAATTTAAAATGATTTTAGTCCATGTAACTTTGTAATGTTAATCAATTTTATTTTTGGAATGTGTTGGCTTATAATTAAAGTATTTAACCTTTTATGACTTTTATGACTATACAGGTGAAAATATTGAATTATGTCCACCATTGTCTTCGGTGCAAAAACAAACTAAAAGAAAGATATATCGGCCTAAAGTGGTCTCTGAAGATCCCAAGAGAACAAAGAAATCTCATCCTCAAAGCAGTGCTACTCCAAAACCTTCAACTCCAAAGAAGAGAAAACCTTATGTCAAAAAAACTCCCAAGTGTCGGCGAACATTATTTGATGATGGTGGGAATTTCATTTCTCTACCATTTTTGGAAAATTTCAATACAAGCGTTCATCAGGATGGATTTGGGAATTCTACTATAATCAATGAATCTGCCATGGGATATAATTCGCTGCAGAGTTATCAGAAGATAAATTCTTTGTCATGTTTATCTCTAGTTGAGAGCAGAAGAGTTGGAGGAAATTTTCCACTTATGTGTAAGCGGAAAAGAATTAGAAGACAAAGAATACTTTTGATAAAAGTCTTAACCCCTTTTGCAAAGGGGAAAAGATCAAGTCTTTCTAAGAAAAAGAGAAAATGTTTTGAAAATTTACGCATAGAAGGAAGTTCTAGAGTGAGCAGAAAAATGAAATTTATACTAAATACTTTGAAGAAAAAAGGTCATCGAAAAATAAATAAGTTAGATGTCCAAAAAAAATCAGGGGAGTTAGTTATTTATAAACCGCGATCATCAAGGGTTGATGTAGACCTTGATGAAGAGACATTACGAGTATGGAATTTGCTCGTTGCTGAAAGAGGACATGAAGAAAAGGATGAACAAAAACGAATTCATTGGGAGAATATAAGAAAGTTATATCAGAATGTGGTTCAATCGTTCTTAGATCAGATGCAAGACACCCAAGGCATGTTTTCTTCTCAGTTGATTTCATATCCTATTTTGTACATGTTTGAAATTTTTTTATAGGGGAATTTTTTATAGGCAATCCTCTAGAGACAATAAAGGATTGTTCATTTCAGATTTCACGCATTTCAACATTTTACCTTTCTTTTGCGGTTTGACATAATACAATATAATAATGAGTAATCAATTTTTTTTTCTTGTAATAAATGGTGCTAATATGCTCTCATTAAATGCTAATTTGAGTTCTTTTAATAAACAAGTTAATTAATTTTTTTTGTAGCATATTGAATTATTAGATGTAAATCAATTGCAAATCATGACTTAATTGTTTAATATTAAGTTATCATTTGTTAAAAGATACACTCGTAAACTTTGCAGGTGATAGAAGATTCTTACCGTGGAAAGGTTCAATTTTGGATTCTGTGGTAGGAGTTTTTTTAACTCAAAACGTGTCTGACTATTTGTCAAGGTAAAGTTAAATAGAAAATTTATTTATGCAATTTTTCTATGTGCTGAATATTAATACTAACTATTGTTTTTATATAGCTCTGCATTCATGTCGCTTGCTGCTCATTTTCCTGTCAAACCAGTTACATGTGAAAAAGATAACAATATGGTTTTGTTGGATCCTAAGTTTGATATAGAGATGAAAAGTGGAAAAGGTGAAGAAATGGAAGAAGTTGAACCCAAAGTTGATAACAGGGGAACTGAATACAATTCTGCAAACGAATATCCCAAAGTTGATAGCAGGGGAACTGAATATAATTCTGCAAACGAATATCCCAAAGTTGATAACAGGGGAACTGAATACAATTCTGCAAACGAATATCCCAAAGTTGATAGCAGGGGAACTGAATACAATTCTGCAAACGAATATCCCAAAGTTGATAACAGAGGAAATGAATACGATTCTACTTCTGTGGAGAGAAACACAGGTTCTCCCGGCATAACTTTTGGTAAGAAACAAACCCCTACTACAAAAAAAACCAAGAATCAAGAGGAAAAAGAGACGCTATTGGAAAAGAAACGACAATATTGGGATACATTAAGAAAATACCACAGTGATAAGCCTCGACACGACGATCACATGGATTTTGTTGATTGGAAAGCAGTAAAAGACGCAAAAGTTGGCGATGTTGCAAAAGCTATTGCAGCTCGCGGTCAACAATTCATTATTGCTGGCAGAGTAGTGGTAAAAAGATATTAGTACGGGTATATTTATAGTATCTCTTGACATATTATTAAGGCAATGATTGAAGTAACTAGTACATTATTATATTTTTGTAGGATTTATTGAACATGTTATATTCAACCACTGGAAATTTGGATTTAGAATGGTTGAGATACATTCCACCACTGGATGCAAAGTAAGTCTAAACATCATGTCCCTTTGCAAGTTCTTGAATTTATAAATTGTCGTATTTCTAACCAAGTACATTTTTTATGTTAAAGGGAATATCTTTTGAGCATACATGGATTGGGATTGAAAAGTGTGGAATGCATAAGACTTTTAGCACTTCAACATATTGCTTTTCCGGTAAGAAAATACGAAGACAAATGTTCTTGTTTTAACGAATGAAGTTATTATTGTTAGATGTGAATATTTTTTACTTATAAAAATATTTGTCAATTTTAATAGGTGGATGTAAATGTTGCAAGAATTGTAGTACGTTTAGGTTGGGTTCCTCTGCAACCATTGCCAGAATCAATGCAAATACACAATTTAGAGGAGTAAGTCTAATATTACAATTCATTAATTACACTATTTTGTTTTAAAACATATTTCCAGATTTGAACATAATTCATCCATTTATCTAGCAAAGACTATATATTACAATTCATTGACTACACTATTTGTTTTATAACAGATTTCCAGATTCAAACAAAATTCAACAATATCTCTGGCCAAGACTATGCACTCTTGATCATCGTACATTGTAAATATCAACCATCTTTTTAATCTTAAATCTATTTGAACTTTGTATTAGATTAATTTTCTTATGCATATCATATGATTTGTATAGGTATGAATTGCATTATCAGCTGATAACATTTGGAAAGGTACATGTTAACATTATTCAAAATAATACATTTTTATTTTAATCTTTCTATTAAGAAAATTGAAATCTTATTAAAATATTTTGTAGGTTTTTTGCACAAAGAAACACCCAAACTGCAATGCTTGTCCAATGAAACTGATGTGTAAACATTATCAAAGTTCCCTTGCAAGGTATGTGTTGCATTTATTTATTAAATTTGAAGAATATGTTATGACTTTATTTACCGAAAGGAAATCGATAGCTTTGACGATGCATATTATTGTTTTTTAGGAATTTTTGTTGTCTTTGTACACTATTCTAAACATGCATCAAAAAGCTTTAAGAGACAATTTACCTTTGCTTTAAGAGTTGCAATGTTACCACTAACACTCATATGCATTGTTTCAATTTCTCGCCTAAAATTGGTTTTGGTATAAAGGTGTGCTAATATATATGCAGTAAAAAACTTGCCTTGCCATCCAATCCATATTCTGATATGCTAAGCAACTCTACGCTGACGTTTGTTCCGAATGAGATTAAAGAATGTGAGCCTATAATTGAGATGCCTCCATCACCGGAACTTGAAACTGCGGAGTTGTATTATTTTGAATCAAAGGATGATGAAGAGATTTACTATGGTTATAATAACAAAGATGGTGAAGATATTGAAGATATGGGTAGAATCGACCTCAGTTCTCAAGAATCATCATCATGCTTGCCAAAGCCCCCCGATTCTGTTTTCGATGGTTTTGACCATGACATGAATACATCAACGGCTTTAGTTGTGTTACATCCTTATGCTGCGAACACCCCTTTACCAAAAATGAAAGAAGCTAGCCGTCTAAAAACTGAGCGTACAGTGTAAGTTTATCTCTTCCTTGTATTTTTATATTTGGATCTCTTCATATTTTAAAATTATTCGTAGTTGTATTATCTCTATTAAATTAATATTTAATTTTATGTTCATTATATCTAAAGTCTTATATGTTTTTTCTTTCTTTTCTGTTCAGTTATGTTCTCCCGGATGATCACCCTGTCCTAAGAGAGGTATTTAACAACATAATCACAAATTAAGCTATTATTATGCACACATAAAATATATATGTATATTCATGTCTTTTTTTTTACAGTATGCTCCACGCGTACATGACGATCCTTCCCCTTATCTTCTTATGGAATGGCTAAAAGGTACTCTGTCTTTTTATAAGCTTAGCTTTTTTTTTTACATATATTAAGCAAAATCGACAATATGATGAATACATCATGTGTATAACTATTAGTAAATTGCTCTCTGTATAAAAGTATCCAATATTGAATATTACTTGAAAGAAAATTGTATTTTTAAAGAAAATATTAAGCACAAATATCTACTTTATGCGAATTCTTAAATAGAGGAATTAGAAAGCTCGGGTGAATCAAACACATCTGACTTGCAAGAGGAAGATAATAGCCAAACAGTTCCTGGAACACTTCTGGTGAGTTATTAAACAATGAAACTTCTGTTGCATTCCGAATACCATTTCTTATACAAATTAGAGAGTATAGATTGAATAAAAATTTATGTAACAGGTACCATGCCGAACTGCAATGAAAGGGTATTTTCCCTTGAACGGAACATACTTTCAAATTAACGAGGTAAATAATTGAAATTAATGCCGGTTTAACTCAAGGTATACATAATGTCTTGAAAAGTACTTACTGTAATTTTTTTTATCAGGTTTTTGCTGACTATGCTTCAATGATAAAACCGATTAATGTTCCTAGACGTTGGTTATGGTCTCTAACGAAACAAATAGCATATTTTGGTACCGGGACATCAGCCATTACAAGAGGTAAATGATTCAAATGTGATGTCGCGTTTTAGTATTATTTTATTGTAATACGAATAATAACGACTATTCTATCAAATATCAATGCAGGTATGTCAGCTGAAAAAGTAAGAGAATTCTTCAACCAGGGTAAGAAAATAATATATCAGTTGGTTTTGTATAAATTACTACTCTGTGGTTAGAACAGAATATGTAATGTCTACTTATATTTTATATAGGATACATTTGTGTGAGAGCATTTGATATAAAAACCGGAGCTCCAAGACCAATATCAACTCTGCTGCATCAAAACACAACCGCCAGATTTGAAAAAGATAGAGTTGAAAAAGAAAAAAAGGCACTTGAAAAAGAGAAAAGTGAGTTGCCAAATGAGTTATTAGCAAGTCATGACAGGAGTATCATGACTGATGCAAGCATGGTGTAAAATTGTTTTTAATAGTACTTTTGGATTATTATTATTTTTTATATCAGTTTAAAGGTGAATAAATGAGATGAGGTTGATTCGAATCCACGTCTCTGCAATTGTATTACTAATAAATGAGATGTCATTGATTCGAATCCGCTTCTCCGCAATTGCATGTATAGAGCAGTTATGTTATCTACTGTAACAGAATAATTATTAATTTTTATCTGTCAAATTTTAATAAGTTTTATTCTCTTATAGGTTAAATATAAACTTGGTACATGTTTGTTACAGTTTATTTGCTATTTAAATTCGTTATTTTTCTTTTTCCGTTTGTGATGAGATGGAGACGAATGTCATCATAATAGTTTTGTAACTTGTCTAAATTTGCCTTGTTAGTAATTTTTTTACGTGCTTTGTTTTGAAGTAAGAGTTCACTGTTTTTGTGCATGTTGATTAGTTTTTCAAAAAATACTTGGAACAGAAAATCCATTGTTGTCAAGGATAATTTGCATGCCTTTTTCCTTCTCAAAATTTGTGTTTTCTTCATTTGCTCTTTTTTTCCAAGTTGTTTGTAGCTTTGCTAAAGTTTGTGATTTGTGTCAACATCAGTCTCTACCACTGATTTTAGAGACCAATCATCATGTGAGGTTTTTTTGGATTGTTTAAGGTGCTCCCACATAAGTAGTGAAAGATCAGCGATGTTTCTAAAATTCGAAAATACACTTCGAGATACATAAAAGATGTACGCACCTCAGTCAAGTCTTAGAAATGGGTCAAAACAAAGCTGAAAAAATTCGTCTATAAACACTTTCAGACTAAACATTTGTTTTATGTTTTGTTTCCTGTTCATTATACCATGTACCTCATCAACATACTTTTGTTTCCTTTTCTGTTTTGTTTGTGTTAATCAAAACTAGTCATTTTCTTTGGTCCCAAGTTAAGAAATGTCCAGTTTGCCACATAATCAAATAATCTAATGGAGATGAAATGTCCAGTTTGCCAGAGTGGATTTGTCGAAGAAATGAGCAGTGTCCCTGGTATCAATGACTTGTAAAATATACCAGAAAATGATTTTGTATCCGAACGTTCTCCCTCCCTTTGGACACCAATCTTGCTAGGCATGATGAGCAATCTGTGAACAAAATCCGCTTTATTATTTGCGGGCTTTTGCCGTGCAGGCTTTTTTGTCATCTCTAGTTTATATAATCAAATTTTTTTGTTGTTGTGATAATTATAGTAATATTAAGAGTTAGTTTTTTAATAAGTAAAACTAAGTTTATCTTATTTTGCGTGTCACATAAATAGTTAGTTTTTTGATAAGCAAAACTAAGTTTATTTTTTTGTATCATGTCAGGGTTTGCATATGTTGATTTTTTTAAATTTTAAGTATTATTTATTTCAAATTGTTATTATTAAATATAATAAATAAAAGAGAGAATGATATTTTTACTAAATTATTATTGTTTATTATTGATGTATTTAAATTATCATAAAAGTAAGATGAGAGAATAATAAAATGAGAGTATTTTTTTTTTTTAAATAAAGGATAATATATTGAAAAAAATTGAGAGTATTAATTAGAGGATAGAATTAGAAAATTAAAATTGAATTGGAAACTAAAAGCGACAATCATTTTAAGACAAATAATTTTATCATACACGATAATTATTTTGGAACGGAGAGAGTAATAAAGTTATTTTACGTACTCTAATAAAAAAATATTATAAATATTTTTCTTTTGGATTTAACCAACCAATTTCGATCTATATAGTGAATCGATTAATCTGGTTTCGTGGTTCAGAGGGACGACTCACTGATCAAGTCTTATTTCTGTTGAAAATTCACAAAAATCTATGACGAATTTCTATCGATCTTGATGCTCAGGATTGATATCACCATACAATGACAATGGAAAAAAATGAAAGAAAGAAAGAAAGAGAAAGACAAATATTTTCTACAGAATTTCTCTTTGTCCACAAACTGTGGAAAACTTTATTCACTTGCAACTGCAAATTCTGTTAATACAACTTAATTGACTTGATTACAAAAATAGAGATTACTCCCACTATTTATATATTTAGGTTAGCTTGCTCCTTAAGTCAAAGTCTAAAACTATGAAAGCCCAAAATACTTATTTTGGAACTAAATCAATTCTATCTATTTTAGACCTAAATCAAATCTTATCTATTGTAGATCTAAAGCAAATATGCGTGTAACAAACTGTTTCCACACTTCTAAATCAAATCAAATTTTTCGACATTACCTTGTCTCTGTTGAGCAAATTGTTTCGACACAAGGAATTACTTTCAACACACCACCTAATTCATTATGTCTAAGTTATCTACATTCATCATAGTTCTTAGTCTTCGAAATACTTTGACTTGTACACCCTTCGTCGTGATGTTTGAAATATGATTCTCAGTTCTGTAGTGTTCCAAATTCATCTTCCCATCTACTACCTGCTCTCGAAGATAGTGGAACCTCATTTCAATGTGCTTGCTTCGCCCATGTTCTATCAGGTTCTTCACCAGATTGATAGCTGACACGGTGTCGATCTTCATGGTAATTTCTCTATAATCTTTCCCTGTTATTTCTTCGACCAAGTTCACCATCTATGTTGCTTGACATGCACAAAGAGAAGCAACTATGTATTATGCTTCGCATGATGATAATGTCACTACTGGTTTCTTTCTTGAATTCCAAGCAACTGGTGCACTACCTAGCATAAACACATATCCTACTGTAGATTTTCGATCCTCGACATCACTACACCAACTAGAATTAGTGTATCCCACTAACTTACACTCTTTTCCTTTATCTGCTGAAGGAGAGAAAATTCCATAATCGGGAGTTCCTTTGAGATGCCTTAGTATCCTTTTCACCGCTGCTAGGTGTGATACATTTGATTTCTGCATGAATCTACTTACCATACCTACACTGTATGCTAAGTCAGGTCTCGTGTGACAAAAGTATCTTAATGACCCAATAAGTCTTTTGTATTAGGTTGGGTCCACATTATCTTCTTCTGAATCTTTCGACAACTTCAACCTTGGTTATGCAAGTGTCGAAGTCGAGTAGCATTCTTCCATCTCAAATCTCTTGAGAATTTCTCTTGTATATCTTCTTTGATGCATCATCAAACCTCTACTACTCTTGTAGAATTCGATGCCAAGAAAGTATGAAATGTTACACATATCAAACATTTCGAATTCCTTGCTGAGATCACGTTTAAAGTCTTCGATCTCCTTCTTGCAACTACCTGTTATTAATAAGTCATCGAAATAGATACATAGTATAAACAATTTACTATTGCTTCTTCTTACATATACTCCATGTCCAGTTGTGCACTTCACAAATTCCTTCTCTCTTAGGAAACTATCAATCTTCTTATTCCAAGCTCTTGGAGCTTGTTTTAATTCATACAGAGTTTATGCAGCATGTACACCTTTCTCTCTTTGATATACTTCACAAATCCAACTAGTTATTTAACATAAACTTCTTCACCTAAGGGTCTATTTAGGAATGCACACTTTACGCCCATCTGACATATGTGCCAACTATTTATTTCTTCAAGACAGACAACCAACCTGATTGTTTTGATTCTAGCCACAGGTGCAAAAACCTCATCGAAGTTTATTCCTTTTTTTTGTAGAAATCCTTTTGCCACAAGCATTGCTTTGTGTCGAGTTACTTCCCCTTTGGGATTCATCTTCACTTTGTATACCCTATTAACATCAATTTCCTTCTTACCTTGAGGCAATTCAATAAGTGACCAAGTATTGTTGTCTTCGATGGACTTCACTTTTTCATTCATTGCTTTCACCCATTTTGAATCCTTCAATGCTTCAGCTGCATTGACTGGTTCGACATCTGCATAGAAAGCATAATGTATCAGCTCACCTTTGTTATCAACCACATCATCTGATGTAATAACACAATCTTGCAACCTTATAGGCACGTGTCTTATTCTCCGAGGTCTGTTAGTACTTGGTTGATCTATTACTGCTGGTTCCTCTTGTCGAACTTCTCTTTCAACTTGAGTTTCTGGTTCTTCAAGCAAGATACTCACTGAATCTTTCTTGACATTTTCAGTCCTATCCTATTCTTTAAGCTCATCTATGATCACGTCCCTACTGATCACAATATGCTTGTTCACTGGGTCGAACAACTTGTAACCTCTTGTCGAATGATATCCTACTAGAATCATTTGACTCGACTTGTCATCAAGTTTTCTTCTCAACTAATCTGGCACATGTCTATGTGCAACATATCCAAATATCTTCATATGACTCAAGCTATGATGAATTTATACCAATCTTGACGCTCAAGATAGTTACCTCATAGGCCATTGTCTCTGTTATGACAAGGAAAAGGTTTTGTCGTATCTGCCTCGTCCACCGATCACTCCTTTAGTTAAAATGGAAAATCAAGAGAAGACGTTACTGTTTCTTGAGAATTTACGCCTTTAACGTGCCACATGCTTCAAATTTTTTTCCGGAGGTACCCTCATAATAACATTTGGGAACTTAAACACTTGAGTGTTTTGTAGCAGTGATTTGAAGCATTGATATGGTTTGCTTCTTTACTAATTCATCATATGATCCATTAGGAGTCATTTTCACATTCTTTGAGGCATTCTTTTTGCTTCATTGTCATATGCATTTTCTACTACGCTTTTCCATCATGTATTAGAAGAAAGTTTTTCTTATCATGAGTCAAAAATCAAAAGAAAATACTTGTACTTTTTTTTGTTAGCCTTGTTTCTTCTTCAACTGTTTATGTCTTCGCTCGAGAGGGTAATCTTGACAAAGATTTTCTATATGTTGGCATGTCTTTGAATTGGGGTGTCTTGATGAATCTCTAATGGGGAAAGGGTTTCTGACGCCTCCCTTACAAAACTCTGTGATGGGGCACTCCAGGTAAATCTTTTCCTATGATGCATACAAAGAGTGTACTTATTGTATCGATCATGGATCCCACAATCAGTTTCATCTTTCCGCCGGTGGGAGGTTTTCCCA